TTCATGGGTGGGACATGCATAAGGCAGACTTCTTGGTGACCATCCAGCTCCATTTTAGTTCTCTTGACACAAATGAGTCATACCTGGCAACTAGTGATGAGCCCTGAAACTAGCTCCCATTGGTGCATAGCTTATAGCCAGTTCTGTCCTGAGCCAATGACAACACAAAAAGGGTACATACTCCTTTCCACACTTTCTTTCATTTTCTTTCCTACTTCTTTTCCTATCTACCAACTTAACTATTACACAGGTAAACTATACACAGGATGAAAAACTAAAAACAAAACAAAACAAAACAAAAATAGGACACGGCATATAATAAAAAGTATACGTCTCCCATTCCTGTTCCCCAGGCAACCGTTTCCCTCCCCAGAGGCAATATGTCCTCCAGAGATACTCTATTCAGCATATGTCTATATTTTCATATTTTTAAATACTAATATATTGTGCATATACTTGATTTTTAAGTTAATTTTACTATATACACCTTCGTTTACTTAGTTTCTTATTGACAGATATTTTCATTTTTTATTATAAGTAATGCCACATGAATATTCTTGCACATAGCTTATTTCCTACATATATGGACATATTAATAGGATACATTCCTAAAATGGAATTTCTGGGTTAGAGGATATGTAGATGAAAACATTTTTAATTATATTTTTATCACAAACTTTGATATTACAAATGAATATATGCAACATATGTAAACTCTAAAGCATAATTGTGTAATGATGACACTCATGATTTTTACATTTTTGTAACAACTTGATTGCATACATATATGCTCCTAAACACCATATTGTTTAGTTCTCCTTGTATTGTTGGTTTCCCCTTAGAACATTTATGTTTTAGGCTGTAAAATCACTTTCTTTTAAAAGAGTGAGTATGCATTAGATCTCTCAATTATGTAATAAGGTAACATACATTAGTGTCTGTCAATAAAATGCTTTCACCAAATATTAAGTTCTCGTAGTTAAACTTTAGACTCTCAGCATGGCGAGGTGAGAAGTCAGAGGGTTCCCGAGTGCCTTATTCCTTGTTGAAAATCTTCAAGCAACTCATATCAGCATTTAGATCGAGTTTTATTTATTTAAAACAATGAACATGCCTTGAATTTCAAAGTAGATTATATCTTTCTCTGTCTCTCTGCAGTTTGCTTGTTTTTAAGAGTTATAGGAAATATCATACTTTATGTAGTCTTTCTGGTCTTACTTATTTCACTCAGTAGGTCTCTGGCATATTGATCCATATTGCTCCTTGCGGGTATAATCCATCCATTTTTACTGCTAGTAATATTCTACAATTTAATTATGTATTGTCCTATAACTAAAGGGTATTTGGGTTGTTTTGGTTTGACATGTCCATTTTTAATTTTGATAGGTATTTGGAAATTATCCTCTGAGAGTGGACAAGATTTCCCCCAACCATCACTAAACGAGAATCCACAGCAGCATTTTGATTGAAGTGGGTGTGCCTTTCGGAAGTAATATTCTAGATCTCAAAATCGTTTTGCAAGCTCTTTCATGGACATTGTTACAGAGACGGAGGACTCTTTAGAGTGGGGCCGCCCTATCAGTGAGGGCCCAGGCGGGAGGTTTGCAGACATGTGAACATTTGTGTATAACCTGGCATGAGATGCACAGCGTGATACTTGACTTTGGCTGGTTTTCTGAATTTGTTAGAGATCTTTCTGCCTCTGACACAGACAGAGGAAAGGTGACTCCTGGGCAGAGGCAGGAGGAAAGCCTGCTGTGGTGAGCAAGCGCACCAGGGCGGCTGGCTTTGGGTGGGGAGGGGCTTTCAATAGAAAAGGAGGAGGCAAAACACGGAGGTCAGAGTCCAGGTTTGTTACTTGAAAGACACTGTTTCGCGGAATCCAGATCCTCTGTGCGTAGGGAATCCCCAAATTAGTTTTACTTTCAGAATCCCAGGCTCGGCTTTGAAGTAACTCTGCGGGAACCCCAGCTTCGGTGCTAGTTCCCGTATCCCCACGCGTATCCCCACGCGAGCTGCCTGCAGTGGACTGAACACTCAGGCCTGGGCGAGCAGTTCTCACGACTGTTGCTGGAGGCTGTGATCCTCCAGGCTCGGACTCCTGCACGCACGCCTCCGTGCTCACCTCTGCCCAGGAGGGAAGTGTAAGGTGGTCCGAGCAGGGTGGGCCGCCAGGGCGACTCCTGTCAACACACAGGCCCCAAGCTCCTCAGGCTCAACTCACCCCAAGGCTCCTTTTGTCCTTCGTTTCTCTTGACCTATCTGTACTCCTGCCCCCAGCCCGTGCCTTTCCTGTAAAAGGGCGTTCAGGTGCACGCACTCCCCTTTCCTTCCCCCTGGAGCGCGATATAGTAAGACAAGGGCTGTAGAAATAGACAGTTGCATTTGAGGTTTACCAGCTGCTATAATATGACTGTGGGTGAGTTAGCTTCTTGCTTATCAATAAGTATACCAATATTTACCTCATTAGAATACTCAGTTAATGAGGTATCATTTAATAATATCTTGTGCAATTCCTGAAATATAATAAATACTCAGTAGATATTTTCCTTCTTTATTCATTACTTATGCATTAGTTAATCAATTAGTTTAGTAAATAAAGATACAAGTTAATCGCGACATAACATGACCCTCAAAAGCCCTATTCTTTACTGTGGACAAAGTACAAGTAAGCAGACAGTCTTACTTCTGGAGAAATGAGCTCCCAGAGGTGTACAGAGAGAGCACGAAACACTGAGATGGGCACATCACCCCAACAGGAAAGGAGATGCTGCTTACGATCATATTCTTATAACTTCGTGGTGCTGGGGTAGTGCGGGAGAGAGAGCCGTGCTCAAGGGCCTGGTGGCAGAGAGCTTGGCCTGATCAAGAAATTCAGGGAACCATGTGCAGAAGCAGCTACGTACAGACTGCAGCTCAGTCTGGGCTGTGAGGTACAGATCTGAGGGGCATCAGCAGACGGATGTCTTTCTTGGAACATGTCTTTGCTAAACTACCCATCCTAGAGCTTCTGACTAAGGTTCTGTCTTCCCAGAGAATGAAGACATTGACACCAAAATGGTGTAGGCTATAGAGGCAAGACTGGCAAAGAAGGAAAAGGAATGAGCAGAGGCGGACTTAATTTTTTTTTATTGATTTTTAGAGAGAGGAAGAAAGAAATAGAAACATCGATGAGAGAGGACATTGATTGACCACCTCTTGCATGACCCCACTGGGGATCAGGCCCACAACCCGGGCATGTGCCCTGATCGGGAACCCAACCAGCAACCTCTTGGTGCACGGGTTGACGCTCAACCACTGAGCCACACTGGCCAGGGGAGCGTAAAGGTTTAAAGCTGCTTGAAATTCTCTCCACCTGGCCAGTGTGGTTCAGTGGTTGAGTATTTACCCATGCACCAAGAGGTCACCGGTTGGATTCCCGGTCAGGGCACATGCCCAGGTTGTGGGCCAAAACCCCAGTGGGGGCCTGCAGGAGGCGGCCAGTCAATGTTCTCTCTCATCGATGTTTCTATCTCTCTTTTCCTCTCTCTCTATAATCAATAAAGAAAATATATTTTTAAATAAACATGTAATCTTCTTTCTTTTTCAGAAATGACGTGAATATCTAAGAAGGCATTGGGTACAGATAGAATTTGAAGCGGATGGCAGTTTGCTGAGTCAGGGCTTGTACAGCTGTCGTTCCCTTTGGAAGCCCCTCCTGCCCCCGCGCTCCTGCGGCCCTTCCTCTTCCCCTCTCACCCTTGGCTAAGCGAGCCTCGTCTGCCTGTCCATGGCCATCTTTCAGAACACCCCGATCTGGTCCACACTGGGTACAGAACAGCCCTTTTCGGCTGAAGCCAAGGACCAGGATGCTGGTTGGTAAACACAGGGGGCACAGGGACCTGGACAGACACCCGGAAGGAGAAGGGCAGAACCGAGCTACCCAGGCACTGCCCCTTCCTGCTCAGCCCATGCGGTTACAGAAACATGCCTAAACCCCACAAAACACATTTAAATAATAATTACTTTTTCCAGTTTTATTAACTGACTAATAAGAACTTAGAAGAACATGGTTTATGTTAAGCTTTTTGAAATATTGGCATGAGCTCTCGGATCCCATTACTCTATGTAGGCACTTTCATAAATTCCAGTTCTCCCAACGAAAAGCCCTGAAGGAAAATGAGATCATTTGAGATCTATTAGTGAATGAGATCCAGTTAAGGGCCACTGAAAACACAGCAAACAAAGATAATAACTTGGCATTTTTACAGTCTTCTTACTTTGAAAAAATCTGGAACACAATTGCTTTTTTCTTTTTAAGTGGGTTTGCGGCCATGTCCTGAGAGTTTGGGAGAGGGAAGTGACACACTGCAGTGGTAGGAGGAGCAGAGTGACTGAGTCCCTCCCTGGAGGGGCACAGCTCCTGCCCCACTCTGTCCCGATCCAAGTCCCAGGAGCCCGGCGCCAGCAGTACGTCTAGTTGTCTCTGCGATCCCAGGGGCCAGGGTGGGAAAGGACACACCATGTTGTGAGAACGGTGTGGGACTGTGTCGGTGTGGAAGGTGGGAGTTAGCATTTGATTGTTGGCTCTGGACTGTTCTCAGGTGGTGGGTTTGCAGGTTCTGGGGCAGGATCGGAAGAGCAGCAGAGGGCTCAAGAAAGGACATTTTATTAACAAAGTTTTCTGAACCTGGAAGACACTCAGGAATTCTTTCCAATCATCTCATTTTGTAGACCAGAAAACCCGTCTCTAGGAGGTGAGCAGGTTTGCCCGAGGTGCTGGAGCGGTGGCAGCCCAGGACAGTCGGCTGAGCTGTCCCTTGTCCCCTGTCCCCTCAGGGCGGGCCTCACACCACCGCCGCACCCGGTCACAGGTGCTCATGGGGCAAAGTGCTTGACCAGAGAGCACTCGTTGTTTATCAATATCCTAAAGCAAAAGTGAAAGAAAATTCACGAGGCCACGTGAGATCGGAGGCACCAGAAAGCAGACAACAGGCAGGGGATTTCCAGCCCGGCTTGTACATAAGCGGCCGCAGTCTCCTGTCTCGCTGTGGGTTCTGCTCTCCCGTGGCTGCAGGCATGGCTGCTTCCTGCCTCTGCGTAAGTCGGGGTCTGACAAGGGGCTGGCGAAGGGAAAGCACCTCCAAGAGATGGGGATCCCAGGAGTGGAGGAGGGCAGGGCTCAGGGAGGCAGACGGCTGGAAGGCTTCTGGAAGGGGAATGTGAAGGGAGATCTGTGGAGAGAAGCTGGGTGTTTGGCCCCCGAGCTTTCTCCTGTCAGGCCGTGGGCCGCCCGCGGGACACACCGTGAGCCTGGGCTTTGTGCCCCAAGGGCCGGCACGCTGCTGCTTGGAGCCCGTTTCTTTCTCATCCTGTCTGGGGGTCCAGGACTCTTCAACAGACGGTTCCTTTTCTTCCCAAAAGAGGGGTTCACAAAACTCATTTATCCTAAGTTCAGTGACTTGCGACATCACCTTGCATAGCAGAACCCGAGAGGGGCAGTGCTGAGCGCAGGCCTGAGCCCCGCGAAGTGTCGTCCCGTGTGAACGGGGAAGATACTTTCTGACCTCGGCGGTGGGGGCGGGGGTCGTCGGGTCCTCCAGGCTGTCCAGCGGCAGCACAGGGGTTGGCTTTTCAGATCATTGAAGTAAGACTTAGATATGGTCCTTACCTTTTATGAGTGAGACCCTGTTTTAATTAAAGGGCAAGATCATATTCTACAATAGGTAGATATACAAACACAGGAAACAGATGAACAAATATCATAGAATATAGTGTCACTGTAATATGTGTTATTATAAAGCAATAAGAGAGTAACAAAGAAACTAAGAGTACAGAGAACGTGTCCTAAGCAGGTTTTCTTCTGAAGTCGTCATGGAGGGCAGCCCATGTGCACAAACCTTGGAAATTCTGTTTGGGAGTTGTTTTGGGGGTCTGGTGTGAATCTTTGGGTGCTTTGAAGTAGTATTTAGTTTTTATTAATCCTCACCTGAAGATATGCATTTTTAAAGTTGATTTTACAGAAAGAGGGAGAGAGAGAGAGAGAGAGAGAGAGAGAGAGAGAGAGAGATGAGAGAGAAACATTAATCAGTTGCCTCTCATATGCGCCCCAACTGGGATCAAACCCACAAACTTTAGTGTATGGGATGATGCTACAACCAACTGAGCCACCCAGCCAGAGCTGCATTTGGTTTTTCACATTTGACAAATTTTATCTGGATAGGAAGCAGGTAAATATGGTGGGAAGTTATTAATGACAGTTTTGGGATGGATAAGAGGTATGATTATGAGGAATAAGACTGATGTTCTTCTTCGTGTTATAACCTGGGAATTCCAAAAGAGACATTTCAAGAAAGGGAAAGACACAGCTTGTTATGAAGGAGGTAGAGGACCAGACAGGCCATGAAGGACAGAAGAAATTAAGGAAGGGGAATGAGGAGTGTAAAACACAGCAGGTATTCTCGGCAACTGTCTCTTGGTCTTCATTTTACAGGTGAATGTTTATTCTGAGGAACGGGAATTAATGACTTTCACTGCCAACTTGGATGACAGAGTGAAGAAGATCAGTGAACATGTTCGATCTAAGACCAAGATTTCCGTGCAGGACCAGGTCCTGCTGCTGGGCTCAAAGACCCTAAATCCTCTTAGAAAGCTTTCGTCTTACGGCATTGACAAGGAGACGACCATCCACCTCACCCTGAAGGTAGTGAAGCCCAGTGATGAGGAGCTGCCCATGTTTCTGGTGGAGTCAAGTGATGAGGGGCAGAGGCATCTCCTCCAGGTGCGAAGATCCAGTTCAGTGGCTCAGGTGAAAAAGATGATTGAAACCAAGACTGCTGTAGCCCCCAAGAAACAGATTGTGACCTGCAATGGGAAGAGACTAGAAGACGGGAAGATCATGGCAGACTATGGCATCAGAAAAGGCAATTTGCTGTTTTTGACGAGCTACTGCATTGGGGGGTGACTTTCCTGGGGATGGGGTGATATTAGGAGCAAAAGAGCTTATTTCCTTTTAGCTCTTACTCACCAACCACATCCTTTGATGATTTCTCATAATTAGTGAGCTAGGTAGAAAGAGTAGATTCGGATGGGGCGTTAGACTGCAGAATACTTTTAAACTCTGTGCTTCTTTGGTTCTAACATAGTTAAGTGGCAGTATTGTGTGTATTACTGAGAACAGAAGATACATTTTTAAGGCCCATTAGAGAGCATTCAAAGCTAGCTTGCAACGTGATACTTTCTTGGTTCCCTCCAATTTATAGAAAAACCCTGTTTCCTCTCCTGTCCAACAGCACAGCACGTCCCAGGCTGGATCACGTTGCTCCCCATTTCCTAGTTTCCACCTCTGTGTGAGCTGAGCCAGTGCTGCTTCGTCAGTCATATGACCAGATAGTTGTTGTCAATACTCAGATCTGATAAAATAGGTTTCAAAATGAAGGCCATAACTAGAGACAAAGGAGGCCACTACATAACATTGAAAGGATCTATCCAACAGGAAGATATAACCTTGGTAAACATATATTAACCCAATATAGGAGCACCAAAATATACTAGATAGTTGTTGAACCTGTCGAATTTCTACTTATAGAGAACAATGAACTGATTTATTATGAAGTGAATTAATTACTCTGACATGATCACAATGTAATTAATAAAGAATTTAAAATTCCATTAAACTACTTCCCCTCTCCTCATTCAATGTGTTTGGTATAAAATAAAACCTGGCACCATCTCTGTCCCATACCCAATTAAAATGGTTCTTATTTGTGGGGATTATAGTGGGCATGGAAATATATTTCCCTGCGGATCTAGAGAGTTGTGTCTCTGGTGGGGTCGGGGGGTGTGTTTCAGGAGGGAGCGGACTTTCTAAAAGGCGAATTGTGGGCTCTTGTCAATATTGCCTGCCTAGGTCTGCAGGTCTTCTCTAGTTTAGGGGCATCAGTTTGGGTAAGGGGTCAAAGGGATGATCTCTGGATTGACCCCAACACCCTACCCAGGGTCTCGCTGATAGAGCTTCTTTCTTTCTGCTTCCTTCACCACCAGCTTTTCTCTTAGAAACTCATGTCCCTTTCTCCACCTTACTTCTTTCATTCACTCCTTATTATCCCTCTCTCATGTTCACTTACTGGTCACATGCATATTTTTCTCACAATCTAAGAAATGTCGACCTTCTCCACTAGTCTAGTCCCTTCTTATCTTTAAAACTTGTTCAAGAACCACCTCCTTGAAGAAGAGTTTCCCAACATAACCCTACCCAGGACAAACCATACTGATGGGTATTTCTCATTAAACTCACGAGATAAGCACTATGTTGTGGACACCAGTCACCTGGCTATGTGGGCATTAGATTGGGGTTTCTTTATACGAGAGACCATGGCTCCTTTTTCTGGATGGGGTCTTCTGCAAGGTAGAGTCTATGATTCCCTTGTTAATTTTTTTTATCTTTATTGTTGAATGTATTACAGATGTTCCTCATTTTACCCCCATTGACCCCCTCGTCCTCATTCCCGCCCCCCTCCTGCCTTTTCCCACACTATTGTCTGTGTCTATTGGTTATGCATATAAGTTATTTGGTTTATTTCTTCCCACCCCCAATCCTTTTCCCTTTGAGGTTTGTCAATCTAGCAATGAATTTGTACTTCTTAATCCCTTCACCTTTTTCCCCCATTCCCCCAACCCTCCTCCCATCTGGCAACCAACAAAATGTTCTCTGTATCTATGAGAATGTTTCTGTTCTGCTTGTTCATTTTGTTTGTAGATTCAGTTGTTGATAGATATGTATTCATTGCCATTTTGTTTGTTCATGTATTTTATCTTTTTCTTCAAAAACACCCTTCAACATTTCATATAATACCGGTTTGGTGGTGATGAACTCCTTTAAATTTTTCTTATCTGGGAAACTCTTTATATGGCCATTAATTCTAAATGACAACTTTGCAGGATAGAGTAATCTTGGTTGTAGGTTCTTGCTTTTCATCACTCTGAATATTTCTTGCCACTCTCTTCTAGCCTGCAAAGTTTCTTTTGAGAAATCAGCTGACAGTCTTATGGGAACTCCCTTGTAGGTAACTAATTGCTTTTCTCTTGCTGCTCTTAAGATTCTCTCTTTGTTTTGAACCTTTTGCATTTTGATGATGATGTGTCTTGGTGTGGGCCTCTTGGGGTTCATCTTGTTTGGGACTCTCTGTGCTTCCTGGACTTGTATGTCTGTTTCCTTCACCAAGTTAGGGAAGTTTTCTGCCATTATTGTTTCAAACAGGTTTTTGATTTCTTGTTCTCTCTCTTCTCCTTCTGGCACCCCCAAGATGCGAATGTTGGCATGCTTGAAGTTGTCCCAGAGGCTCCTTACACTCTCCTCATTTTTTTGGATTCTTTTTTCTTTTTGCTGTTCTGATTGGGTGTTTTTTGCTTCCTTATGTTCCAAATCGATGGTTTACTTCTTGGCTTTACCTTCTCTACTATTGAATCTGTGTAAATTATTCTTTATTTCAGTTAGTGCCTCCTTGATTTCTGACTGAGCATCCTTCATTTCTAACTGGTCCTATTTTATGCTCTTGAGGCCCTCACTAAGTTTGCTGAGGTTCTCACTAAGTTCATTGAGCATTCTTATAAGCAGTATTTTGAACTCAGCGTCTGTTAGGTTGCTTATCTCCATTTCGCTTAGTTCTTTCCCTGGGGGTTTGTTCTGTTCTTTCATTTGATACCTGTTTCTTTGTCTGCTCATTTTGGCTGCCTCCCTGTGTTTGTTTCTGTGTATTTCTTAATGAGAGGTATGGGGCTATCTGAGACCAGATGCTGCTTTTTTGAAAGAATTTAGGAAAACTTGAAGCAGGATCCAAGACAGGCCAATCCTATGGTGAAGCAACTGGCAACAGCTTGGGTGGGTCTGAAAGTTGGGTGGGGCGGGGCCCCAGGGAATCACCAGGGCGGGGCTACCAGTGTGAGCCAGGTTGCTGGAGTCCCGGATATAGGGGCTGTCTGCCGCCCCGGGGAAGGGCTCACCAAAGGAACAAAGGCCTCTGACAGCACGTCTGTCCTGGAGAAAGCCCCCTCTCCAGCCCTCGCTCTAGTGCCAAACAGCTCAGTTCTTCTCTCTATGTCTCTGGTGCCCCTGGAGCTGCCTCCCCTCCAAGCTTAGAGGGAGAGAGTCCGATGAATCCATGCGCGGGCCCTTTAAGGAGCTGCCTGGGGCTCCAGCCGCCTCAGCCTCCCTGAGCCTCAGTTTCTGCTGGTTTTTCCAGCCAGAAGTTATGGGGACTTCTCTTCCTGGCACTGGAACCCTGAGCAGGGTGCCTGATGTGGGATGGGGACTCCTCAGTCCTCAGGGAGGACCTTCCCAGCGGAGGTGTCCTCCTGATTTTTATGCACCACACGTGGGTGTGGGACCAGCCCATCTGCCCCTCCGCCCCTCCTACCAGTCTCGATTTGGCTGCTTCTTTGATTCCTAGTTGTAGGACTTCCATTCAGGTCAATTTCAGGTGGTTTTGAATGATGATTGTTCTGTAGTTTAGTTGTAACTTTGATGTGGTTGTGGGAGGACGCGATACCGTGTTTACCTACCCTGCCATCTTGACCGGAAGTCTCCCTCCTTTGTTAATTTAGAAGACTCTTGGTGGCAGACACCAGGCAGTCTTCTGTGGTGTCTTCCACCAGAGTGGGAGAGAGCTAAAGCTAAGCATCATGTCATGTCATCTCACCAGCACATGGATTCTTGAGGGGTGGTTGCAGTATCTCCTGAGCATGGGGAAGGTCTTCCCCAAATCATGCTTCCTCTCTTTATCGGCCTAGGAGAAAATCTGAGGGCCACTTCTCCATCTCTAAACCTGTATTTGTAGAGCATATAGGGATTTTTCCTCTAAGACATGAACATTTCGAAATGGAAGGAAGAGATCTCCTCTATTAACCCTGGACTCCCTGGGGACAAAATCTTGCAGATTCTCACACAGAAATGAATAGCCTCAAGGCTAAATTGACTAACGTTCCAGTGGGCATTCCCATTCTGGACCTTGGGCTAACAGTTTCTTCCCTACCCCATCCGCCCCCTCCACAGACTGACTTCCCAGTAGCCTCCTCACTACCCCCTTTATTCCCTTATTCCGAAGGTTGTAGATGGGTAGGTTGAGGGCCAATGTGACTGCTGTAGAAAAGTGGAAAGAACTTGCCCTGCCTCAGGTTGTAGATGTGTGTAGGTTGCAGGCAGGTGTAGATGGCCAAGCTGTTGAACAGGCAGACACAGTAGTCAGGTGGGAACCCACACATGTCCACTGCTTTCCTGTGGGAAATCCCAGAGAACACTAGCGTGCTAGTCCTGAATGCATGGTCCCTAGAGAATCCTCTCGAAATTATGGAGCATGGTGGGTGAGATGGGGTTGAAGAAAACCCTGTTTAGAGTTATGCCATTTAACTTATTTCATCTTATTTCTAGGGTTTTTACTCCCACTCCTTAGTGACTCATTGGAGTCTCTGGTATACTTCATGAGTGATGCTCAGATGCTGGAGAAGGTGGCCCCTTTCAAAATGGTCCTCCTTTATTTTTCCACCCAAAGTGGCCTTGTGAGCTGTGAAGCTCAGATGTCCTTATCTGCATCAGCCAATCAGCTTGCTCCCTCCTCCTCCCACCCAAACCTTCAGCTTTCAATCAGGATGCCAGGACATTTGAACTCTGGTGCTACAGGAAATGGGCCCTTCATGAGATTTGCACTGTCTGTCCTGACTGCTGGGATTTCCTGCCAGGTTTTCCAACAGGACAAGATATGGTGGGAGTCTGGGTGATTAGGAATTTAAAAAACAAACAATACCTTTTGTGTTTCCCAGAACTCAGGGTGGAAGTCAAACACAGGAACGGTGGTTGTGGTGGGTGTTGATAGCCGACCTCCTCGCAGCCCTTCCTGAGTCTTGGTGGAAGAGGTGTCAGGAGTGACAAGGTGTGGGTGGAAACACCCTTCTTTGTTCAGCTCCCCACTTGGAAAACCAGAATTTTTTTGACAGTTGCAATTTGCTGTTATTATTTTAGGAAGTGGGATTGTGTATGCAGAAAAAAAGACCCTTTTCCCTTTCAATGAATATACTTTAATATGGAAAACACAGTATATTTACTTTGACTAATATTAAATTCTATAATTTTTAGAAAAAAATGAAGCAAATGGTGATGTGCCAGTTATTGGCAACAAAATTAAATTTATCAATGTTACTTTACATTAATAAAATAAAATGACATTTTCCAAAATAAATATTATTATTCATTGCCCTCAATTCCAAGATACATGTCAGAAACACCAGGTCAAAACTCAGGGCCGTAGGTAGAAAGAGAAAGCTAAAATGTTCACATACATACAAAGAAGATTAAATATGAGGGAGAGTGAATATACTATATTTTGTTTCTTAAAAACTTCTATTCAATGTGAAACAGTGCCCAAAGCAACATAAATAAAAATTGAATCTAATATTGAAAATGCCAATTTGGATTCAATATGGTATACTATTTGTGTGTAAATGTTTTAAATTGGATGGAGCCTCAAATAAATTATAATTTTTACTTGGAATATTGAAAAGAAAAAATTTAAAATATATATTAATTTTTCCAATTA